AAACATGAAAAGAAAAGAAAATGGATTCTCAAACTTATGCAAATTTGGAATGTAAAACTCTCAAATTACACATATTTACAACTCTCTTGAACATTGCTCAAGAAACTGTCAAATATGTCAGAATCCTTCCTCACCATCTCTTTTTGTTATTTCGTGGATATTTCTGATGTTCTCACCTTAAATAAGTTCAAGGGTGCTCATATGACATATCTTTAGGCATGCCACTTTGGAAAGCATAAAACCTATGAATAGGAATTAGTAAATTATCTCTTTTTGTTATTTCAAATCAAAGTTGAAACACAAAGTTATTACGCTGAAGTCTTTTTTTGTAGTTTGAAAGTAGGGCATCTTTTGTTCTTCTTGAATGACAGAAAAGTCTAAACATAAATAATTATTAAAGGAAGCGATGCCTGTACTTAGTTGAATCTTTCCATAGACCATCTCAGTTAATTCTGTTCCAAAGACATACTTGTGAGCAGCATTGCCCTTAGTCCTGAATAGCATTTAGTTCCAATAGTTCCAACCGACATCCTCTTTGGTACCATTTGTCACGCACCGTCATGTAGACCAGTTGGATGTGATAGTAACTTTCAATCCCACCAAGCGCAACCTGCAATAGGGCCTTATGAACTGCTCAAAAATGTGTGTGCATGGGCTCTGAGGAAACTCATAAATTGCCAATATTGCCCTATTCAGATTGGGATTTCGCTCTTTAAACTGTATGCTATATTTTTTCTTCGCTGATTTCTTCCAAATTTTAATGCAACCTGTTCAGGTGGCTTGCCTTGATGAGTGGGCTTCAATTGAAACGCAACATTCCAACTCGGTATCATTCGCCATCCAAGATCTGCAGGCTAGCACTCTCCGTGTTCCCATTACTGGAGGAGCAAGGGTAAGTCGGTGGAAAAGTTCGTAATATTCAATTGTGAAAAAGAAATTATTGATTCAATTAAAATTTTCCAGGGAGACATTGAAGTTGTTAAGGCAGCTGTATGCTCGGCCCTTGATGTGATGCAGGCAATGGGATCATCCTTATGCTCCGTACTTTCACAGGTTAAATACTCCTGCTTTTATAATTATCATAGTCTAGCCTTGGTCAATAGGAGGGGGAGTGTTGTTTCATTGTTTAATAAATTAATCGTTGTAGTGTTTCACTTACTGCACACTTCAGCAGGCTATGCTTACTGATGCAGCGTAAATGTTCATTCCGGACGTAGAAGAAATTAAAATAATTAGGGTTTACTTTATTTTCATTAATTGCAGTTATTGTTATTTTAAAATAATTTAGTTTGTTTCCTTATGTGAGAAACTAGTTTTCCTTATTTATTCTAGTTTAGACTCTATAGAGGAGCTTGCTTTGTAACAAACTACATTTTGATCATTGGATAAAATTACAAAGTCTTCCTCCAATTCTCTCTCCTGTCTCTCTCTCATCTCATTCTTCTCCTCTTTCTCTCCCTTTTCTCTTCTTCTTTAACTGCTCATTGTTAAGTTGTTTGTGTTCTTCGTCACTTGTATTCTGCGTGTCAATTGAGGACAAGGAGTAAATTTTGTTTCCCTGTCTCCTGTCTTGTACTTGGATCAGGACTTCAGTGCACAAAACTGGATTGACGGGAATACTGCTTATCAGTAGTTCATCTCAACTTACAATTAAAGAATGGTGGTAGTTACACACCAAATAGATCGAATTAATTGGTTAATAATTAGTCATCCTTGGCAGACAGTCAAATGAACAGAGAAGACATCAGAGATGCAAAACCAAATTGTACCCCTCTAATCTAAAAATAATACTTTCTGTTATTAGTGATTGCAGTCTCTGCATTATTTCTTTTCTCTCTTCCGTGTACAGGAGAAACTACTGATCTAGTTAGGGTATTAGGTTCACACTCTTCCAATCTTACATGCATTTCTAATTGAATATTGAATATTGAATGTGATCATAAGATGCGCAGGCATGTTTATTGTTTCCTTCCCATAGTTAATCTCTTTAGATCTTCTCTTTTAGTTCCATCTGATTTGATCTTGTATATCATACAGGTGGAGGGGATGAACTGCCTGGTCTCTCAAATTGCTGATGTTACAACAAAACAAAGAGCCATGCTTGATGAATATGAAACACTTATGGCTTCTACAGTTGCAATGCAGGTGAGATTATAGCTACGTTATTGCAATTTTGTAGTTGGAGTGAAATGGTTATCATTATGTTTTCTGGTTCGGTTTGAGAATTTCTTGTTGCTGGAGATATCAAATCTTCTTTGAGGTCAAGAGTTGATTCTGGCATTTACAAGTAGAATTCCAATACTCTGAGCTCTTTTAAGCTAGCAGTCCTACTTCATCATTTTACTTAAATCTTGAAGTGAGCATTTGAAATGATAATACAATAGACAAGATTTGAACTTTTTTCTTCTTTTAACACTCCAGAATTGTCCAGTACTCTATTGAACAAGCCTGTAGTTGATGTGTAAATAAATAAGAAGAGTTTATCAGATTACACGTGCAGTATGTGAACCTCGAGATTGATATCCCAAACAAGAATATTAAACCTGTGGAAGGATTAGTTACTGAGATATTTCTTCTTGGCTTTGATAAGGAATTTTGCTTCATAGAGTAGCTTATTTTTGTTCAAAACTTCAACACCACTTGTGGTTTATTATTTGGCTCGTTTTTTATGCTACATTTACATTTTACGGCATGTGTAATACCTGCTTAACTCGACTCCATTGTCCTGAGCAGGAAGAAGAATGCAGCCTTCGGACACATCTGTTACAGTTGAAACAAGCTTGGGAAGACGGTGAACTGCTGACATTTGGGAATTAAACAACACTGCCTTGGGGATTTAGTGAGTGCATATTGATGTTTCTTCTGGTCACTTTTTAATATAGTATTAGCCATAGTTAGAATTTGTTAGGATACTCATTTCTTTACTCACCGGCCTGGGCTGTTACTCCTTGCTTTATAAACATTGTATGATTGTATCGTCAATTACAAGAATTTGTAAAGGAATATCATCCTTTTAAGTTAGTAATTTTAGGGTTCGACAATCATTGTTCAGTACTATATACGAGGCAAGTTTATCCTGTTTTTTCTATTGTTTACGACGCTCAAATAGTATAGTCATAACATGCTCGCAATGTATAGATTCAGGGGAGGACTCTAGTCCCCACCTGCCTTCTCCACTGCTCAAATGTGTTGGTATTTCTTTCATCCCATTGAAATTAACATTAAAGAACCTCGTAAGTGTATATCAATTGTATTACATATATATAATGATTTACCTAATTGTTTATATACACATGATGTGGTGAAATATGATTGAGCAGAATTTCTTCAACCAAATAATAATAAAAAAAACTTCACCATTCTCTTCTTGACACCGTATCTGTATATAAATCATTATGTAATTTCATTAAATACAAGTAGCATTATCCAATTTTAAAGGATGAGCCGCATCCTTGACGACCCCCACCTGCCCTACCCTGGGCCTTGGTGAAGGAGGTAAATCGCAGGTTATGCCTCTAAGGATACAAGGTGGAAGACTGCTTGTACACTTGCACTTACCCAATGGCCAAATCCATATTTATGCTGGTTGTTATTATTATACAAGACTCGTAGTACTATAAATAGATTTTAATTTACAAAAAAATGATATTAAATCCATGTTTGGTTCAACTACGAACATTGATTTTAAGTTAAAATCAATAATTAATTTTAATAATACACATTTTGCCCCCCATTCAATCGAAATATAAATTCAACATTGCTATCGATGTCGAAAGGATTAAGAAGTCGGTAAAGGCTGGCCAGGTGTTTCTCTATTTGATTGATAAATTAGATCGAAAGAGGTGCAGGTGGACATCATGATTAGTGGCCCCTTTTTTGGGATACGTAGATTTTGTGATAATGATTTTTGAGAAATATGTAGTTAAAAAGTAAAAAAAACAAAAATTGGTTAACGTGTAAAATTAGTTTATTTCGTGTTTGAAATTAAATTTGAAAAAAAAAAAATGAGTTTTTGAAAAATGTGCTCTAACAGGGGCTTTATGGGATCTACAATTTTTACCCACAAGTTCCATCAACTTTTATTACAAACTATTAAAAATTTGATTTACTATAATTGATTAAAAAATTGATAAAAACGGTGAATCATATGAAATGTATAATTAAAAATAAATTTTAAAAATGGGATCAGACATCGATTTACTATAAAAAATGATAAAGATACACTTGCTTTTAATATATATCAGTCATATAGAGAAGAAAGGAAAGCCACTATTTCCATTCACAATTTTTATATATATATCCACATTTCATCAACTATTATACTCATTAAATACTTGTGGACCTGTTATAATTTTCATTTAACTAAAATCCTAATATTCATCAAACATCTCTCTCAATTGGTGTATTGGAATCGAATCTCGAATGATATTTGACATTATTTTATTAAAAATGCTGGTTTGTTTATGGAATTGTTCTTAATTGTTATTTCATTTCTGGATTTAGATAATATAAATTGTACATTATGTATGCTTGAAGAAAAAAGAATATTTACTTTTTCTATTGCTCACGCCATGAGCTTACTGCTCATGGCTTGGTGGAGGGGGATGCTTTGAATCCGTGGCGATTGTCTGCGGCTGTATTCCCAATCAACGATCACTTGCGTTGTATGAGCCTTGTTTGAGCCTCTATTTTCTAAATTCATTTTCAACCACATATTTTTCAATAAAATAATATTACAAGTAAATTCAATTTTTTTTCTTAATTTTTAATAACTCAATCTAAATCAAGCTACTATTCCAAAATGTATTCTTTCTCCCAAAATGGAGATCAAACAAGCTATAGAGAAAAATGTGAGCCACTTATGAGAAAGTGGTGAATTTGAGAGGTGAATTATAGTTTGTTGGTGGCTTGGGGGAGGGGAATGCCCTTAAATATTTACATGTATATCTTGTTTATACATTTTAGAAATCACAACTAAAATGATTGACGGCTCAGTCATTGCACCAGTAGTAGCGATGTCAAAAAGGCTCGACTGCTCGGACTGCCCAGGTTAGGCTCGAAAAAAGCTTGAACCAAGCCGGCTCGTGGCTCGATGGCATCAAGCCGAGGCTCGGGTCAAGCCTCATTTTAGGGCATCGGCTCGAGCACGTGGCTAGTCATCGGCCTGTGAGCCGAGTCTTAAAAAAATTTAAATAAAAAAATGCAGGCAGCTAAAATTACAGGTGCTTGCAACCATACTGTTTATATTAAATAATAATAATTATATCCTAATTTGAAAATCCAAGCCGTAGGATATGAGTATATTAATGAAAATCAAATACAATGCAAAGAGGGGGACGTGTGAGCCTTACATCCAAAAACAACCTCGTGTAACTACAAGGGCAACTGACAAACTACAACTCAGTCATGTGCAAAAATAAATACAATGTCTAACTAAGCAACAAATCTAATGGTCTCCATACCTATTCTATCAAGTTTCACAATCCCATTTATTCTTCCTTTGAACTCCTTAGCTTCAACTAATTCAAACTTTCTGTCACAGCAACCTTTGGCAGCAAACCAGTCGGCAGCTTGGTTTCCTTCCCTCCAAGTGTGAGTGAGCTTATATTCCATTTTCTCCAAGAGCCATCTAATAGATTGTAGGGTGTATTGAACTGCCCAAGAGCCATTATTTTGATTGATCAAAGTTAGAGATGCCTTAGAATCGGTTTCAATCCAAACTTTCCTATATCCCTGTGTGCAGCACAAACATAGACCAGTTTCAATCGCCCTAAGTTCAGCTTCCAGGATCGAACATTCACCATAATGGTCATAAAAACCCCATATTGGATTCCCTAGGTTGTTCCTCAGGAGACCTCCTCCTGTAGCCAGATCCTTACCTTTCAACGCCCCATTCGTATTGAGTTTAAACCAATATGCGTCTGGTCTTAATTGTTATTTCATTTCTGGATTTAGATAATATAAATTGTACATCATGTATGCTTGAAGAAAAAAGAATATTTACTTTTTCTATTGCTCAAGCCATGAGCTTACTGCTCATGGCTTGGTGGAGGGGGATGCTTTGAATCCGTGGCGATTGTACGCGGCTGTATTCCCAATCAACGATCACTTGCGTTGTATGAGCCTTGTTTGAGCCTCTATTTTCTAAATTCATTTTTAACCACATATTTTTTTAATAAAATAATGTTACAAATAAATCCATATTTTTTTCTTAATTTTTAATAACTCAATCTAAATCAAGCTACTATTCCAAAATGTATTCTTTCTCCCAAAATGGAGATCAAACAAGCTATAGAGAAAATGTGAGCCACTTATGAGAAAGTGATGAATTTGAGAGGTGAATTATAGTTTGTTGGTGGCTCGGGGGAGGGGAATGCCCTTAAATAT